CTAACAGAGAAATAAGAGAATTAATAGAGGTAATGAATCACATGGACTTCACAGATATTTATAGAACATTCCATCCAAATAGGAAAGAATATACCTTCTTCTCTGCAGCTCATGGAACCTTCTCGAAAATTGACCACATACTCGGTAACAAAGCAAACTTCCACAGATACAAAAAAATATTAGTAACCACATGTGTCTTGTCAGATCACCATGGAATAAAGTTAGAATTCAATAACAATTCGAACACCAGAAAGCCTACAAACACATGGAAGCTGAACAGTCAACTACTGAATCACCCCTGGGTCAAGGAAGAAATAAAGAAAGAAATTAAAGTCTTCATTGAATTTAATGAAAATAAAGACACAACATACTCAAACCTATGGGACACAAAGAAAGCAGTGCTAAGAGGAAAGCTCATAGCACTAAGTGCCCAATTAAAGAAAACGGAGAAAGCACACATTGGAGACATAACAGCACACTTGAAAGCTCTGGAAAAAAAAGAAGCAGACTCACCCAGGAGGAGTAGATGACTGGAAATAATCAAACCGAGGGCTGACATCAACAAAATAGAATCACAGAAAACAATCCAAAGAATCAAAGAAACAAAAAGCTGGTTCTTGGAGAAAATCAACACGACTGGCAAACCCTTAGCCAAACTAATCAAACGGCAGAGAGAGAACACGAAAATTAATAATATCAGAAATGAGAAGATGGACATAACCACAGACACAGAGGAAATTCAGAGAATCATTAGATCTTACTACAAATGCCTATATGCCACAAAGTTGGAAAATGTACAACAAATGGACTTGTTTTTAGATAAGCACAATTTATCAAAGTTAAATCAAGACCTGATGAACAATCTAAATAGACCTGTTAGTCGCAAAGAAATAGAAGCTGTTATCAAAAACCTCCCTACCAAAAAAAATCCTAGGACCAGATGGTTTCAATGTAGAATTCTACCAGAATTACCAAGAAGAACTAATACCTTTACTCCTTAATGTCTTTCAAAATATAGACAGAGAAGAGACATAGCCAAAGTCTTTTTATGAAGCTACAGTTACTCTGATACCAAAACCACACAAAGACACAACCAAGAAAGAGAAATACAGGTCCAATCACTCATGAACATCGACGCAAAAATTCTCAACAAAATACTGACCAACCGAATCCAGGAACACATTAGAAAAATTATCCATTATGATCAAGTAGGCTTCATCCCAGAGAAGCAGGGCTGGTTCAACATATGCAAATCTATCAATGTAATCCATCATATAAATAAACTGAAAGAAAAAAAACCATATGATCATTTCATTGGATGCTGAAAAAGCATTTGACAAAATTCAACACACCTTTATGATAAAGGTGTTGGAGAGACTGGGGATACAAGGATCATACCTAAATATAATAAAAGCTATTTACAGCAAGCCAACAGCTAACATCAAATTGAATGGAGAGAAACTCAAAGCCATTCCACTAAAATCAGGAACAGGACAAGGCTGTCACTCTCACCATACCTCTTCAATATAGTGCTTGAAGTTCTAGCAATAGTAATAAGAAAACATAAGGGGATCAAGGGGATTCAAATTGGAAAGGAAGAAGTTAAACTCTTGTTATTTATAAATGATATGATAGTGTACATAAGCGATCCCAAAAACTCAACCAAAGAACTCCTCCAGCTGATAAACACCTTTAGTAATGTAGCAGGGTACAAGATCAATTCCAAAAAATCATTTGCCCTCCTATACACAAAGGATAAAGAAGCAGGGAGGGAAATCAGAGAAACATCACCTTTCACTATAGCCAAAATAGCATAAAATATCTTTGGGTAACTATAACCAAGGAAGTGAAAGACCTATTTGACAAGAACTTTAAGTCTTTGTAGAAAGAAATTAAGGAGGATACCAGAAAATGGAAAGACCTCCCTTGCTCTTGGATTGGGAGAATCAACATAGTAAAAAATGGCAATTCTACCAAAAGCAATCTATAGATTCAATGCAATCCCCATCAAAATCTGGTCAAAATTCTTCACAGACCTTGAGAGAACAATAATCAAGTTTATATGGCAAAATAAAAAACCCAGGATAGCCAAAACAATCTTATACAATAAAGGAACTTCTGAAGGCGTTACCATCCCTGACTTCAAACTATATTACAGAGCTACAATATTGAAAACAGCTTGGTATTGACTTAAGAACAGAGAAGTCGAAATATGGAATTGAATAGAAGACCCGGATATTAACCCACAAACCTATAAACACCTGATTTTCGACAAAGGAGCTAAAACTATACAATGGAAGAAAGAAAGCTTCTTTAACAAATGGTGCTGCCATAACTGGATGTCAACGTGTAGAAGAATGAAAATAGATCCATATGTATCACCATACACAAAACTCAAGTCCAAATGGATTAAAGACCTCAACATTAATCTGACCACTTTGAACCTGATAGAAGAGAAAGTGGGAAGTAGTCTAAAGACATAGGCACAGGAGATCACTTCATAGGTAGAACCCCAGTAGCACAGACAATAAGAGAATCAATGAATGAATGGGACCTCCTGAAACTGAGAAGCTTCTGTAAAGCAAAGGACACTGGCAGTAAGACAAAATGGCTACCTTCCGACTGGGAGAAGATCTTCACCAACCCCTCATCAGACAAAGGTTTGATCTCCAAAATATACAAAGAACTCAAGAAACTAGACACTAAAACTCTAATTAACCCAATTAAAAAATGGGGTACTGAAGTGAACAGAGAATTCTCAACAGAAGAACTTCAGATGGCCAAAAGACACTTAAAGTCATGCTCAACCTCCTTAGTGACCAGTGGATTGTAAATCTAAACAACTTTGAGATACCATCTTACACCTGTCAGAATAGCCAAACTCAAAAACACCATTGATAGCCTATGCTGGAGAGGATGTGGAATGAGGGGAACACTCATCCATTGTTGGTGGGAATGCAAATTTGTGCAGCCACTGTGGAAATCTGTGTGGCAGTTTCTCAGGAAACCAGGAGTCAGCCTCCCTCAGGACTCAGCAATTCCACTCTTGGGAATATACCCAAGGGATGCCCTATCATACTACAAAAGCATTTGTTCAACTATGTTCACAGCAGCACTATTTGTAATAGCCTGAACCTGGAAACAACCTAGGTGCCCCTCAACAGAGGAATGGTTAAAAACAGTGTGGAACATATACACATTAGAGTTTTACTCAGCATTAAAAAAACAATGACATCTTGAATTTTGCATGCAACTGGATTGAAATAGAAAACGCTTTACTGAGTGGGGTAACCCAGACCTAAAAATACGAATATGGTATGTAATCAGTCATAAGTGGATTCTAGCCACAGTTAAAGGTCTTTGAGCCTATAATTCGTGATCCTAGAGAAGCTAAATAAGAAGGTGAACCTGAAGAAAATCATATAGTTATCCTCCTGGATTTTGGAAGTAGACATGATTGCCAGGCAAACTTGGGTCCACGATTGGTGGGGGTGGAAGTATGGGGAGATGGTTAGAGAGAAGTGAGCAGGGGAGGAAGGGGGATAGATTGGGGGAATGGGATGGGAGGATGGAGGAAGGATGACTATGGGAGCAGGTAAGGTTATCTCAAATAAGGGAGCCATTTTAGGGTTTGCAAGAGATTTAATTCTAGAGGGGTTCCCAAGTCCAAGGAGAGGTCCCTAGATTGTTCACTGGGCAGCAGAGGAAAGGGTGCCTGAACTGGCCTTGGCCCATAACCATACTGATGAATATTTTACATATCACCATAGAACCTTCATCTGACGATGGATGGAGATAGAGACAAAGACCCACATTGGAGCCCTGGACTGAGCCCCCAAGGTCCAGATGAGGAGCAGAAGGAGGGAGAACATGAGCAAGGAAGTCAGGACCGCGAGGGGTGCGTTCACCCACTGATACAAGGGGTCTGATCTAGTGAGAGCCCACCAAGGCCAGCTGGACTGGGACTGAGCGAGCATGTGATCAAACCGAATTCTCTGAATGTGGCTGACATGGGGGCTGTCTGTGAAGCCATTGATAATGGCACTGGGACTTGTTTGTCTGAATGTACTGGATTTTTGGGATCCTAATATGTTTGGATGCTCACCTTCCTAGACGTGGAGGGAGGGAGGAGGAACTTGAACTTCCCACAGGTCAGAAAACCCTGACTGCTCTTAGGACTGGAGAGGGAGGATGAGAGAGAGTAGGTGTAGGTACCCAGGTCTTTTTCCCTTTTCTTCCTTGGCATTTCGCAG